AATGCCGCGACCGATTAGCGGTTTATCGCTTGAAGTGATAAAGTGACGAAATGATCATGAGTAATATAACGGTAAATTTTCTAATAATTTCATAATAAGAATCAGGAATAAAAATAAAATGAAATATTTAATATATATCTTCATTACACATACATACACAAATATTCCATGCTGTCAGATTTCAACTTCAGCTCGCGTTCTCCCAGTGACAAAAACAGGAGAAAAACTCGCGTGATAAGAACTTCATCCTCGCTCGTACAAATTTATTCATCTCGATGAGATTGAAAAGCGGTATTTCGTTTCGTTCCCACGTTAATGAGCAAGCTACATTAATAATGAAACTGCTTTCAAAGACGTGTACATCCCTGTCTCACCCCGATCCGTCGGACACCTCGTATACGCGTTCACCTCTATTAGTACTCGCACGTCTGTATCCGACAACAGCTTGCATTTGTACCAGCAACTAGCCATCACAACCGGTTATGCGTGTGTCCGGAGAGAGACGCGTTGAACGATTGGTAGCAATCGGTGTGGTGGGAACGATGCATGCCCCGAGCGATGTAATATATAAAGAGTCTGGTCGCGACCGCCGCCAATTATTCTGACATCGTCGACCGGCCCTGTATCGATCACGAAAAAAACCGCGCCACTCGCGCTCGTATTGTTCGACGCGATTTCGAAACGCGAAAAATTCCACGTATCAAATTTTCCGGAATATCAAAGTGCGTCGTGATCGACTAGTTACACAAGAGATCCTCCAACGAATATCCTACGATAAAGAACAACGTCGACGAATCGCTGATCTGCATTAAAGTGGTGGTGATTTTCGTGTGAGAAATCGGCGCTCTTCTTGCTCTCGTGGGAAAGGATTGGATAATGCCGACGTGCGCCTGCGAGAATAGGACTCCAGACGAGTCGGGGGAGCACGTTTGCTCCCTGAAACCACCGATGGAGAAGGACAAGGCCAAAGAGACCAGGGAATACACCAGTCCGGTTAGGTAGAGGCGCTTTTTTGTAGAAAGAACTGGAAAGTGTCATCCTGCTTGATCCGTCTCGGTTTGAATAACGTGAGCCGATTTAAGACGAGATAAATAAAGATAAAGTAAATAACGTCCTTTTTCAATTTACATTGCAGATTGGAACGGGTTATGCAAAAATAAATTTATTCGTTAAATAGTAGTTTTGAATAAAACAAATCTTAAAATTCAAAATTTTACATTGCCAAACTAGCTATGTAAATTATGTTCTTCTGAATTTGATTAACCCTTTTTCATAACACACTATCCAAAAAATCGCAATCGTATAATGAGTTTTATACATTAAAAAAGAAAAAAAAAAGAAAATTCGATTTTTTATCAGAGATACATTCGCTAGTTAATCTTTAAAATGAAAAGATCCCTATTAATGTTCGTTATCGAGAAGATTAAAATATTTTTCCTATAGCTGTCAATCCTAAAATTCAGGAAAAAACGGGCAAATAATTAAATCTGCCATCGAGAATATTTATTGACATTTTGCGATCAATTTCATTTTGTTATCAATATTATACGAAAATGGATTGATGTCTGAAAAGCTACTTAAAGATTAATTCAAACTCGGTTTTATAATACGGAATTGAATCGTTTGTTCCGCGTAAAGAATTGTTCGACGAGAACACACACATGCGATAAAAGGATCAGGTACAAATACGATAGTTCGATAAGGCAGAACATCTTTCTAAAACGAATAGCAGCCGGATCGGATCTCTTGGAACAGACCCCGACTGACCGCAAGAATCGATTTATTCACGGGATTGCTGAAGGATATAACGTCGAGGGATTTGTCGGAAAAATATGCTCTCTTCGCAAATGTTATTGAATCTATTATTAATTTCGAACATTAATTTTAGCTGCATTATTTGTTTCGTATATTGTTCAGTATATTACAGAAAACAAAGATGTAACGTTGCAATAAACTAATAATAGCGAAATATTAAGAGGCACATTCGTCTGCTTATAACATTCGTGATATAATTCTACGTTTCGATCATAAACATTGCAAAAAATGAGGAGTTTGACAAAAAATGGGAAGAGAACCCAGTTATTTTCTAATCTTCGAGTGTGAACAATATCAGAAGTTATTCCGAGATGCGCGAAACATCGAACAATAACTCGCCGCGATTCTGCAACGAGGATGTATGGCTGTGTCTCGCGATGGAAATGACGGAAATATGGTAAACGCAACTCCGCGAGGCTATGTATTTTCACACATTCCCCACATTATTCGCGTGAGCATAGTTTCCGTCGAGTTCCACCGTGGACCGCGAAGAGAATAGTAGGAAGCCCTACCGCGAAGCCGGCGACGGTTTACAAAAGACAGATAACGCGAAAACGGAGACACCTTGGTAAGTCCCCGAGCGAAGATATCTCGCAGGTAGCAGAAAGCAACAAGAGTTGTTTTTAAAAATTAAAAAAAATGTGTATTAACAGTAGAGTATAAAACTTCTAGCCATAATCATTTTCCTTCTTTTCGATTTTTACCCGATAATAGATAAAGAAGACAATTCTTTGAAACATAGTTCGAAGATATTTTTTTATCTGATAATGTGACAAGGCAAAAGACCCAATTATGACTGTGACCAAGATGCAACTGTTAGATGTCTGATGATATTTGATTTTCTCTCTTGATTTTTACCCGATAAGGAATAAAGGAGGTAATTCGAAGAAATTCCTTTGTCGATAGACGGATTACTGCGCATCTGCGCTCGAAGACACACTGAAAGATCATCATCATAATTGATCGTAATGTTTCACTCTTCAATATTAAATATATAGAACAATTAACATTTTCTATTTTGTATATAAATCAATTAAATTAAATTTTATTTTTAGTTAAGAGAGGAGGGGAGACGTTTCACATACAATTTGCACGCAGTATCAAAATTTAATTTTTTAAAAGCTTTCTCTATTTGCACTTTCTTAAGTAACTAACTATCTGAATATTTAAATTTATTGTTCAATTAATTTCAACTGAACTTTACTTTATCAATATAGAACGATTTGATTAGCAGATTGTCCGTCGTGTAATTATCACATTAATTGTGTAATTATCATATTGAAAAGAAATTGAAAAATCTGACAGAAAACATTTTTAAATCTTCATTAGAAATAAATTTAGTTAATAATTACTCTATGTTCGTTAAGTTATATATTCGGAAAAGAGCAAAGAGTAATTCCCGAGCATCCATACGAATTGGTTACCAAAAATGCAAAATTAAAAAAAAAAAAGGTTAAATAAGTCAATAAAATGAATATGACGATAGAAAAAGCTCACACGAAACAAATATTTTTATTTCGATACATCATGCAATCTATACATGTTAACTCTGCAATAAAATGAATTATTAATAATAAATAATTATGATTGAATTCATGTTAGAGAATGATCTCTGAGAAAAGTCCCGTCATTATTAAGTATTTACGGTTACTCTGGATGTAAGTAGATATGTGTAAGCGATGCCAAAGCATAACAAGTGTAAGTGCGTTAATTGTTGACGCCAACACGTCCTCATTAAATGGATGAATAGCCGCGCGCGATTTCGCGATCGTAAATCACAACTAATCTCGACAACAGTTCGTCAAGATTAAAGTAATATACATTTGCATTGCCGAGCGATATCACGTGCCCAGAAACAATGGGCGAACCTGAACTATCGATGGATACTTTCTTCCATAGAAAATTCTCGGTATAAGTCTGGGAAAACAAACAGTCCTGTGAGCCTTAAGACGGACAAATAACCGCGACTCTGTTGTTCCGTTCGGATCGATTTTGACCCATTTTCGACACCTTCGTGGAGATAGTATCTGACCTTTTAAATTTCACGACTTTATCAGATTTTCATTTTTAGTTTAGATGAATTTGTATATTAATATATTTTTAAAATTTTATTGGCTTTGTATATATTAATATACAAATTCATCTAAATATCAAAATCATATATATATATACAAATAAATGTGCATAAAATATAAGAAAAAAGAATGTTTCTGTTAAAAAAATCAATACTAAATTCATAAAAAATCTCGATTTTAAACTTATATTTTGTGATAGTTTCAGGCTACATCCTACATTCAGAGAAATTACTTGAAGATGTAATAATATTAAACGTTCTCTACAAATGTCGCAAGTGCAACAATCTGATATCTAGAAAGTAGTTTTTTTCCCACAATCACATTGCGCATTTCATATCGCTTGTGAGAGACGTCAGAAGTGAAATATAATTATTCGGCCGATGAACGGGGATGTATGACTTGATTACGATGCGCAACTCCGTCGGCGGCTGAAACTGATTAAGGCTTACGAGTGCATTAACAAGATCAATTTTCGACGCTGATGTAATTAACGATATGCCCGAAAATTATATTCGTCACGTCATCGTGTCAATGGCCATCGGCGCAATTTCATCGAAGCTCGCTCATTCGCTTGCTTTGTTATTCTTTGCTTGAATAGATATTAATAAATGCCCGAAATTCTTTCAATAATTTACGCAGTATTATTTGTACAGTGCAATTAACCATATCAAGTATTAATTGGTCTTATATAAGTTAAAAAATTATAGCATTTTATAAACGTGAATAATGCGATATATGTGTAGCACATATAAATAAAATATTTTTTGATATAGCTCTGACATTGCGATGCATGTTATATATTTTCACGGGGTGAATTCCTTACCGTCTTAAATTATTTCTTTATTAAATATAATAATTGTGCAAAAGAGAGAGTTCTTTGACAAGACATATAGTTTTTAAAAAGCTTCATGCGAGCAAAAATATATAAAATACATATTTTTCATTTTTCCCAGGTACAGCGATGGCTCCGTACGGTTACGAAACCCTAATATTGAGCTCATGGATCAGGATATATTGTACCATCTCGCGCTCGGCAGCGGTTCCCATGATCTCGTTGAAATGTTTGGCGACATCAAAGTAAGTCGGACAATTATCTTTTATAAATTTGCTCAAGAAAATAAAGCGAAATATTCATGCTGGCGTATATAAAGAGTTTCTTGACCGAAATACTTGAAGAAATTTTGTAAGCGTATTCTTTAATCCATTCCACATCTCGATTTTTCTACTTAACGAGAAATTAATTGACCGCGTTTCGTTTCTTCCAAAGTTTTCAATTTTCAATATTCAATATCTCGGTAACTAAGTCTGGAATTAAAACTCTATTAAAGTAAAATCCGTTTGAAATAAAATATTTTTTTTTTTATTTCTACGCTCTCTTGAAGCTCGATTTGCGAAGCTGATTTGTTTTATTTCCAATCGCTTGAAATAAAAAAAATTTCATGTATTATTAATCTACTAAAGTATTTAAAATTTGCAACAATATGTAACTACATTGACAAATATTTAAACAATTATTATTAGTAAGCGTCATGAATTTGCCAAATGCCTGACTTTATTTGAATTAAACATGTATATATTTCATATTAATACATCGTCAGATATTATAAAACTCGGATGAGTCAAATTATCAGAAGCACGTTTATGTCGTTATCACTTGGTTGTCATTCTTTTCTCTTTAACAAGCTGCATTTTAATTACAGTGACATTGTTCTTGCGTTCATATAACATATCGATGACATAATGACATAAAGCATACTGATAAATATTAAATGAAGTTTTTCAATGAAACGTAATTGTGTGCAAAATCAAGCGATAATTATGCGTAATAATTATCGTCAATTCCGCCGTATTAATTATCGTGATTCCGCCGTATTTATATAAGGTACCGCAGAGAAAGATTCCTCTCGTGTGTTTTTAATTTGATTATAAAATAATAATTTTAAATAATATATCGCGAGTAATACGATATGTGTATAGCACATATCACGTAAATATAAATGATATAATATATAAATTTCATAGAAATTTATATCCTAACATTAATTTTTTATAGATTATTTATAGTCTATTTTTACTAGCTATTTATCTATTAGCTAACTAATCGATTTTGTTTTTAATGTGTATAGTTGCGCTAAATTTATATACGCAAAACAGTATGACGTAAGATGTGTTACATCATTCATAAATATCAAGGTTTTGACTTCCTTTGATAAGAGCGATTCGTGTAACATTTCTCGTCGGATATTTATTACATTTGTCAATAATCGATTCGGTCAATGCGTCTTTGCTTTCTGCATTTGACACTCGATTCGGATCTAATGAAAAGCGAATATGCACTAGTCGTAATATCGCGCAATTGTGCGCGAGGTTGACGATGTCACGCGATACGCTCGTGATGTCGGCCAACATCGATAAATCGCGAAATATATTTCAATGACGTGCAATTACACCATCTACCATTACTCGTTTATTTTTATCATCATAACCGTTGATCTTTGACATTTAAGAATAAATGGCGTCTCAAGTGACAGATTCCAAGCGCATTAACACTCAATTCAATTGTTCCTTCCTTTTTCCCTCTTTTTTTATATTTCCTTTCCCTCTTCTTTCTTTTGCTTTTAAATTTTTTAGTTTCTTGTCGTAATAACATTCTTGTCGTATTCTTACATTATAGTTCGTCTGTATGGGCGGTACGCCGAAACGGATGGAAAACTTTGCCAACTACATTATGAAGGAGATTGGTCACAAGCTGCCTGCCGGAACAACTCTTCTCGACATCACTAAGAACTCTTACCGCTATTCTATGTACAAAGTCGGTCCTGTTCTCTCTATCAGCGTAAGTTCCTCCTATTACAGTCGTTTCTTTCGACGCGGAATATTTTTATCCTTCGACATAAGACAAAAGTTTTATTTCGCTGCTGATCAATTATCGAAGAAGATCGAGTAGACGATCAAACACGGAGCGATTAAGTTTTTTAAAATGCTTGCCATCGTAATTGGAACTCGTTCAAACAGTCGAACATTTACACGGTCAAGCAGATTTATTTTTGCACAAACACGTAGAGTCGTACTTATTTAGTGTAGCGTTTAATGAGATTAACGTGCTCGCGATATTACGCTTGAAAGTTGTTATCCTTTAATCCATGCAAATTGTGACCGATTTCGCATAATTCGACTGGATATCGACACGTGTTGAATTTTTCCGAATCCACGTTAATGGATCACGTTATGTGTAGAAATCGTAACACATTGAGTAATTTCCGCAGGTTGCTAATATATCAATGATACATTATACCGATGGCAATATAAAAGGAAAATATAGCGAATAAACGCTTAATATCGCGATACATTCAAATATAAAAAAACATAAAAAAATTTCAAAATTAATATTTTAATAAAAAATTATCGAAAATTTGAAAATAATGAAACAGCACTAACACAATATTTTGTTAAAATTTGATTGTTTAATATAAAGTATCAAAGGTATTATTACAAATTGATTAAAAAGTCACTTTAAAAAAGAGAACAGTATGGCAACATTCTTAACATCTCTAGTTTGAACATAGTACCGACAAAATCGGTAATCCGTTCCTAGTAAAGAAAAAATCTGCTAACATTCCATGCTAATCATATGCATCTCGCTTTGCCGCTATAATATTTCTCATATGCCTGGATAGTCAAATCGTTTTAACCGTCTTGTTTTGCGCGAATTACGCACACGATATACCAAACAAGTCGAGCGAAATTCGAAACGCATTTGCCTGGATGCTGGAGGCAATGATTTATGATGGAGATACCTTGCACGAGTGAATACTCTTTCGGCGCCGCAGATTTTTAGTGCAAAGCGTATATTTTATTCATTCGTGGAATTTGAAAATTCTGCCAATATAAAACTAACCAGTTAATTTATATATAACTCATATACAGTACTGGACAAAATAAATCATACACCTTTCAACAAATTGAATTTGTTAGTATAACTATTCTTTTAACAAGCAAATAGATTATTAGATACAGGAAAGTCGAAGCATTTCAAAGTATTTAAATAAAAAAAATATGAAATAATAAAAATTATGCTCAATTCTTTTGTAAAAAATTTATTATTCAATATTGTTACATTTTGCCATGGACAAAATAAATCATACATTTATATAGTATAACGTAGGGAACTATCAATATTACATTTCATCGTTCTGCTGTTGTTCGTCATTCTATTGTTTGTTTACATTGTATGTACGACTAGAATTTACGTGTTCGGTGAGTTAGTAGTAACTGTGACGAGCAAGAACAATGTCACGGAAGCAAATTTCTCTTGATATCCGAAATCTGGTCATTCGCGACCGACAGAATGGTGAATCTTTTAGGATAATTGCTAATAAATACTCGATCTCTGTTGGAGCAGTGCAACACATCTGGAGAAAATATGAAACACATGGAATTGTGGCAAATTATTCCGGAAAAGGTCGAAAGCGGGCTACAACTTTTCGTGACGATACCAGAATCATTCGAATGGTAAAACAAAATCCGAAGCTATCATCAAAAAACATTGTGGAATCGATGAACCTGACTGTCAGCAGTCGTACTGTGCGTCGTAGGTTGAGGGAATCTGGATTAAAAAGCGTGTTCGCATCAAAGCGTCCCTTCATCAATAAAATAAATAAGAAAAAGCGATTCGAGTTTGCCAAGAAGTACGCGAATATGTCTCTAGACTTTTGGAAAAAAGTATTGTGGTCTGATGAGAGCAAGTTTGAATTATTTGGACAAAAACGGCGATCTAGGGTGTGGCGAAAACCTGGTGAGGCTCTTAAAGAAGTAAATATTCAGAAGACTGTAAAACACGGAGGCGGTAATATTATGGTATGGGGATGCTTTACATGGTCTGGTATCGGTAATTTGGCTCGAATTGAAGGCATTATGACGGCAGAAGGATATATTGATGTATTGTGCGAGAATTTGGAAGAATCTCTTTTAAAATTGGGTTTAGAAAACAACTTTATCTTCCAGCAAGATAATGACCCTAAGCATAAGGCGAAGAAAACCACTGCATTTTTCAAATCTAATAAGGTAAAACTGCTCGAATGGCCGCCACAATCACCAGATTTAAACCCAATTGAAAATTTGTGGGCTTATTTGGACGTGAACGTGAATAAAACGAACGTAAGTGACAAGACATCGTACTATGCAACACTCCAGAAGGCCTGGGAGGAAATTAATCCTGAATACTTAAAGAAATTAGTCGAGAGTATGCCTCGCCGACTGGAAGCGGTATTGAAAGCCAAAGGTGGCCATACCAAGTACTAATCACCATTAGAATTAACTTTATTTATTTGTTAACTATTACTTCTAAAAGTGTATGATTTATTTTGTCCAGAACAAAATGTAACAATATTGAATAATAAATTTTTTACAAAAGAATTGAGCATAATTTTTATTATTTCATATTTTTTTTATTTAAATACTTTGAAATGCTTCGACTTTCCTGTATCTAATAATCTATTTGCTTGTTAAAAGAATAGTTATACTAACAAATTCAATTTGTTGAAAGGTGTATGATTTATTTTGTCCAGTACTGTATATACTCAATTTTTGCATCGAAAAATTTACTATAAAATAATAGAATTATCTAAACTTAATAAATTCAAATTAAAGAATATATTGAGATTTATAATTAATATTACTAAATTCCATTTTAAAA